CATCTTCAGCTTTGCTCTTTTCATGGGAGAAATATAGAATATCACCAGGCCTATCCATTTTTTCCCATCCAGTTTTCTCTCGGGGTATGTATGTAGCCTAGCGCAACATCCGGCTTCTAGAGACAAAAGCCATCTAAAAACAACTCAAAATAATCAGTTTTCTGTAGTTTTCCTGCCGCTGTTGTTCACCTCAGCGTGTCCTGTCTGTGTCTTGCAGAGGGGCCGTACGGAGTATTTGCAGGCAGAGATGCATCTAGAGGTCTAGCGACATTCTGCCTGGAGAAGGAGGCCCTGAAAGACGAACACGACGACCTGTCCGACCTGAATGCCATGCAGCAGGAGAGCCTCTCAGAGTGGGAGACGCAGTTCACCTGTGAGTAGAGACTTGACCATATCACATTTTCACAGCACGCTTATAGTGGCCACAAAATATCCCTGTAAACAGTAATAATAACAATGCAACACACTTTCCTGAAACACTGTAAAATGACTTGGATTTTATCAAACCAGACAAACTGAAACGATGAACTGTGCGGTGCAACTTGGTAACACTTTATCTGGAGTATTTGTGTTAGTAACATTTCAAAAGATTATAAGTTGAGCTTCAACAATTCAATCATTTTCTAGGTGAAGGCACAAAAAAACATCTTGGTTGGGGAATGTTCATGAATTCTTACGAAGTGAAAGCTGAATTGTAGCAAATACAAATAAACTACTTGAGGTGACCTGTCCAAATAAAGTCTTATATAATATCCACTTACAAACACAAAACTTCTGTTCATAGTCATATTATTCACTCGAGCAGGTCGATTTGTTAGAAGTTTTAGGAGTCAGGTAATGTTTTTATACATGTTCTGATTTCTTTTGAGCTTAAATTGGTTAAAATTATTTTGAAAAAGCTGAAAGTTTGTAAAGTTGCAACAGTGATAGAGTATCTTTTGGGGGGAAATTATGAATGGACTAATCAATAATGAAGATAATTACTAACTTGATGAAAATGATTGGTGACATAGAGCACTCTTGGTGGTTAGTAAACACACCTTTGTGACTATTTTCTTAAAACCTCTGACCACAAATTGGATATTTACCTTTATAACTTAGGTAGTAATAAAGGGGATGGTGATGGGGCAATGGATAAGACACATGCTTTGGTATGAGAGACCTGTGTTCAATCCCCCGCTGTGACCCCTCCACCATGGTGTCCCCGAGCAAGACACTTAACCCCTAGTTGCTCCAGAGGCGTGCGACCTCTGACATGTATAGCAATTGTAAGTCGCTTTAGATAAAAGCGTCTAAGCAACTAAACATGTAAATGTAATGTAAATCCAAAAGGCCCTGGCTGTTTCCTCTGCATGCAGGATTTTGTCCTTGAGTCTCATTGTCATGTAGGCTGTAAATAATTTTCTTATTCTCCCCCCCATTACAGTTAAGTATGACTACGTCGGCAAGCTCCTGAAACCAGGAGAGGAGCCCACAGAGTACACAGACGACGAGGAAGGAAAGGACAAAAAGGCGGACTAGAAAATGAAAAGTGACCATGAGGGGAAAATGACGGATGCCTTAATGTTTTTTTTAAAATGTTGATGCCTGTCGCGTCCTTAGGGCCATTCAGAGAAACCTCTGCCATCTTCTGTTTGCATTCTAATATCTTTGGACCGTTGATCCTGGATTTTATACGCTGACTGAATTCCATTTATCTCTGTTTATCTTATTTAAAGGTTGGATGGCATTAACAGCTAAATATACTGTATTCTGATGTAGAAATGTGTTGTTAGAGATTAGATTAGATACTGTAAAACCTAAAAATCGATCATTAGATTACTGCAGAGAATCAAGAACCTTTGTCGACTTATTGACGGACCAATTGCAACATTTTCTGAAGCTACTGACTGTTGTGTGTCCTGTAGGTTGAGGCTAATAGGGTGTTTAAATAAGGAGTTCTGCTTTGGTTGGCTCACTTTGAATCAGTTTGGTTGCGAGATTATCCGCAGCTCTGTTGAACACTTGTTCATATCGCTGCTGATGAATTGCAGGTTGTACACATTCCTTTCATCCAAGGTTTGGCTCAGCTCGCTTTGAAATTAATTATCTGGGGGAAAAGTTTCATTCAAAATTCAGAAAAAAATATTAAAGGTCTGGAGCCAGACATCAGTTATAAAGTGAAATTACAGTGTTTTTAACTGCGTCCGTTCTGATTATGGGTCTTACTATGCTATTATAGTAATTTTGCACACGTGTCCCAGAGATTCAGGATCAGTCAATTGAGGCAAAACGAACAAACTTGTGAAAGCTTTCCAAATAAACTTTGATTTTACAGAAACCATTAAAAAAAATTTGTCTTTGAGTTCCACCATAAGCTACTTTGGTTACCCGGCAGGTTTTGCTGAATATAGATCTCGTTGCAGTTAGCTGCAATAGCTTGTACAGGGGATTCATTTCTGTGTTTACTTTCGGTTGGACAAGCATTTGAAATAATGAATTTTAAAAATTAGGTTTATTTGGAAAGCTTTAGTGGCATTTTCTGAATTTCTACAACAGAGGTGTTTAATGCGACGTTAGCGTGACCCACAGTCAGGAGGAGGGACACAATTATAAGAGTAACACCCAGGCTGAAAAATACTCAAGATTTCCTGTAAATGGAGCAAACCAGCTAATTGGACTGAACACTGAGCAGATCTCTTTTAAGCAACTTTTATTGAGAAACTTCACCAACCTTACTGCCGGTTGTATCAATTCTGGCTTATAAGAAGACGATGCCGTGCAGATGTTCGTAACTTTCCCACCCTTTAAACGTATCTGCTGAACTGAATTGTCCTGTCCTGTTGATAACATTGGTCTGATTTTAACTGTAGATTTCTGTTAAGAGCCATTACTTTTTAACCAATCCTGAGATTTTCTTCCATTTTAAGGGGCAATGTAATGCTCACAGTGACAATCCAGGTTGTGGCGTTCAGCGGCATTGCTGCATTGTTCGCCTCAAAGGCCGCCTCGATCTCTGTGGTCTGATGTAGAGCAGTGATATCTTTAAAAGGCAAGTGACTGATATTTTTTGATTGGCACCAATTTTATAATCAATGAGCTATTCAAGTAATTTAAAATATGAATCATTCTCTGGTTTCACTTCTCAAATATTAAGATTTACTGCTTTTCTTTGCTTTTTTACAATTGTCTGCACTGTTGGTCAGACAAAAAAAGTGACGTGCAATGATTTTTTTCAAAAACCTAAATGCCCTCATTGTGCAACAGAAAAGTGTCAGAATGTAGAAAGAAATGTCTTTTTTTAAAACACTAGAAAGACCAAACCGCTGCCAGTTAACTGTTGTTGTGAATTTTATAAACATGATTCTCTAAATCACAGATCCCTTTTATTCCCCAGTCAGCTAATGTTTTGTTTACATTCTTCTTGACATTAAATCCATGATGGAAACATTTATTGTTAGGCTAAAAGCATCTCAGTGCGGCCTCAGTCTTGTTTTTGCAGGGTGAACCGGCTTTTGTTCAGTTCACCACAAAGTCCAAGCTTGTCAGCCTCCTGCCAGGTTCTGATTGACCACAGTTTCCTGTTTCTGTCATGGACGAATCAACAAGACGCTAATGATTAAACCCTGGTTCTGCCTGGATCTGAAAGCTATTTGAAGCTATAATCAGCTAAAGACGGAGATAGGTGATTTCTTAGGGGTAATAGAAAATGGTTAAAACTTAGTCTAGTGTTCTCAGGCTACAAACAAGTGATCAGGAACTTTTTGTCCACAAAAGTGTCCATGAAATCCTGCAGAAACTTTGTTTGCAAGAAAATGCTGTTAATTTTTAATCCTGAAGTTGTATGGAAGAACCTTGTGTAGAGCAATATGCTGTTAAATCATCTGTCAACAATATTTTTCTTTGCCACCAACGTCCCTGTAAAGATTGCAGAGATCAGCCACTTTCCATGAAAACAGATTCAACGTTTTCAGAATGCACAAACTAAACACACAAACTAAATGTCATAATACTGTGATACTGTGATACTATTTTGATGTAATAAAGAAAACTACAGAAATGACTGGTTCAGTACCTTTTGTAAGATTTTTATTGAATGTGAGTGAAAACATTTAAAATTAATGAAATAATAAGGACCTATTAAAATAACATACAATAACTGAACTGACTTGCAGTGCATTAAGAACCTAATAACCTTCTCCAAACTTTTTTTTCCCCAAGACACACGCAGTATACTCTCCGCTAAAATCACATACAATCCTGTGAACCAAATTAAACTTGAAGAACCTATTCGGTCAACAAAGACTCTTAGGATACACAAATGAACAGTATAACTTTAAGACAACTTAATTAAATGTTAATTTGTTTGTATTGTAGTAAATGTAAATCACATTAGTTACAGTACTTAATAATTATAGGTTTGGGTTTTTATGTTTTTTATTTTAACAAAATGTTGCAATATTAAAGAATCACTCATGTTAGATTTCAATATAGAATTTGAAATACTTAAAAATCATGAGAAGACAAATTCATCCTCAGCACTGCTCCTTTCAATACAGTTTATGTACATTACCACCTGTTGTAAACCTTGCATCTTACCAGTAGACAGTGGGAAACTATCTGCACAGTTTGGATCAACCTGTAAGGTAGTTTGTGGATGTCTACTGAGTGCACCGCTTTGTGTTGGGATGTTTGTTTTATTAACCTTTTTTATGAAAAGCAAAAAGTATGTGTCAGAAGTGGGATTCGAACCCACGCCTCCATTCGGAGACCAGAAGTCCCGGCTCTACGGAAGGAGTTTATCCTTGAGTCTGGCGCCTTAGACCACTCGGCCATCCTGACACGGTGCTTTAAATGGTTGTCAGTTGGAGTTTTATTTATAACAATCCAAATTCACACATTTAATATTTATATGGTTGTATTTGTAAAAGGAATTGTTAACTCATAATTGCTTTGTGTACGGGTTTAATTTTACAAACGTCTGACGGTTAACTCGCAGTCTCATACTTTTAACGTTTAGTCGGCGCACGCGCACCCTGGCAATCGTAACTTCCGCTGTGTCTACGTGCGGCGGACATATTAGCGTACTCTTCCGTTCTTCAAGGGTATCTGAAGGCACCAGGTTAGACAACATGTACCGGTTTGCTAAAGCTGCAGTCAACATCACCGGTAAGGAAACGGCTTTTTCATATATATATGTTTGTTGTCTGTTTGCATGCAGGCCAGGAGACAGTTTTATATCCGTCGACTAACGTTAATACCGGCCTTTCTTTGGTAGGTGACCGCGATCGGCGTGCTAACGTCAACAGCCCACTGCTAGCTTGCTAACATTAGCAATGTCGCGAAACGTCTTAAAATACTGTTAAGTGTGTAATTAAATGCCTTCAGTTCTCTTCCGTAAATTAAAATATTTCGTTTTTTTAGTTTTGAGTTAAACTATTACTAGAAGTAGCCATTGTCCGACACACTGACCTGTATAACCTAAGATAATAATGAGCTATGTTAGCTAACGCATTTGTAATGTTGATTTCCCTTTCGAGTAGTTATGGAAATAAGCTTTTAGTAATTAAAACAAAATATAGTCTACACTGAACTGTCTAAATTATATCCATGAAGTTGGAATGCAGATAACGTTAGCTATTTTAGAAATCATTCCAGACCTAAACACATTTTGTTCATCTCACACAACACATTCTGGTGGTGTTATAGATCATATTTTCTCCCCTGAACGTTTTTGGTGCATTTACAATACGTGGCTCAGTTTAAAAATGATCAAACAAGGCCACCCTTTTGACTTGAACCGAATGTATTTTATCTAATATATTATGGTACGTTTTAGTAAGAATGTATTTCTAAATTATGAGTTCCTGTCACTGCTCTTCTAATTGCACCCTGAATTGTGCTTATTTTACGAATGTATTTATACTCTGTTTCATAGAAGCCTTAGTTATTTAGTCTCTATAAAGTGAACTACAAAAAGCCATTAACAGCAAAGTTATAAAGAACAAAAGTTAGTGATAGCGCAGGACATAAATGCCAGTCATTACAATGAAGAAAGTGTTTTGTTGTCGTCCAGGTCAGGCCGCAAGGCAGGTGAGGCATGGATCCACCTCCCCTGAGAACTTCCACAGCAAGTATGGCAACGGTCTGATGGTCGGTGGAGGCGTTTTCTGCACAGCTGTGTGGGCATACGTAAGTAGTGCTGTACTGTTAGGCCGCAATACATTAATTTATAAGTATGACCTGAACAGACAGCTTGCACACAATGTGTAGTACATAAAGCATCATGAGTGCAAAATGGCATATTTTTAAGTTGTGGCAAATTAATGGTACACATACCTCCAGGGGGAAATTACTAATAAACATTAAGGCATATTATTGGATGTAGATCAATACAACTTCCACACTAATCAAAACCTACTTACCAAATAGATCAGTGAGAATGAAAACGGAGCTTGAAATATGACATGCTTTATCAGCCACAAAATCCTCAACCAGAAAAACTTTGCCTCTGGACCCAGCGGGCATAAATTACAATCAAAGAAAGTATATATTTTATTTATTCATAAGGGACAGTGTACAGTAAAACAAACATTTCCATTTGATGCACTGTACCAGATTATAGCTTCAAGCTTATTTGCATCTGCAAAACATATACAGTGCAGTGTCGTAAGTAGTACAAATGCAGAAATATTGTTGAATAGCAAAGCCAACTCCAGCTCTCTTTCCCCAAGAGTGTTCTTTGTTATACCTTAACAAACATATTGTGTGAGCGGAGTGTGTGATTAAATGTTTGTTTTTCCTCATTCTGTAGCACCATCACACACACACACTGTTTACAAAAAGATTTTTGTTAGGACACTTTAACCTGAACACATCTGCTAACGACTGGAAGGCCTGAATATGTTCAGAGGTGTTTGAATCTTGGTTAAAGAGTTTGTGTATTAGCTGTCCTTCATGTGTAGACTTTGACCCTATAGATTATTTAGTCTTTGTTGTCTTTCTTCTGTTTGACATTGCATTTCATAGTTGAATCTCTGTGCAAGAACAAGTTCTTAAAGACTCTTTAATTTTGTGAAGAAACCTGTTGTCACTCAGAAAGCACATAAAGATCCTAAAGAGTGTGGCATTGCATTCCAAAAATAGTTTACTTTCTGTGTGCAGGTGCTCACTCAGACAGGCATCACCTGGAATCTGTCACCAATTGGAAAGGTCATGCCCAAAGAGTGGAGAGAGGCCGAGGAGTGAAGAGTACCATGACGGACCTGCATCCCACCTAATAAACCTTCTGGTTGTACAGATGAATAATGAATATCTGCGTGTTCAGACAGTGAATGCCTATGTTTATTCCAACATGTTACTATGTCCAATTAAATTAAGTGATTCTACTGATCATTGTTTCTTCTTTTTAGTTGAGCATACAGTAGATACCATTTATCTTTCACAGCTGTCACAGTCGAAGGGTAAATTCTCCCATCACAGTAAGATCATTGAAACTGAAGTGCTATCTACGTATGTTTACCATCCCTGAATGAGTGATAGATTGCACTTTACCATATTTTTGTTAGTACACAATTCACTAAAAGTCACTGCCTGGGTTCACATTGTCCACCTTGCTTAGATGGTTGAAGCACATTCACATCACTTGTGAAAACCCTTGTGGCCAAAGAGCAAAAATCGGGAGTGGATGAAGTATTCCATATGAATCTGGAGAGTAAAGTTAAGTCAAATGTAGAGGGGTACAAAGTACAATATTTGTCTATGAATTAAGAGCGCGTACACGTTCAAGGATTTATTTATTTTTTTATTGCTCAATGTACTTGGGAATAAACATAACGGCTAAGGACAACAAAGCTGAACAAATAAAGGTAAAATAATAGAGACATGTACATAAGAGCGACCCTGCGATGGACTGCCGACCTGTACGGGGTGTGGATAAGCGGCTGACGATGGATGGATGTACATAAGAGCAAACATGTCTATTTTACAAGTCAAGTGTTTCTGTGAGTTATCCACAATACAAGTAGTATAAATCCTGAATATATAAACATGGTGCGGCTGATCATGTACAGAGTATACATGTCCATATATACAATGTGCATGGTTTATATGACCAGTGGCAGTGCATGATATGTACATGTTAAAATGGTACATTTTAAATGGTAACTGTGTAACTAAATATCATCTATAATTGAAGTAGGTGAATGTTACGACACTGATTGTTCATCAGTGTGATGTTCCATGGGAATAAACTGCAGTAAAGTTGCTTTGGCATACAGTGTTCTTTAGTGCCTACCAGAGGGAAGAAGTTGAGAGTTTAAGGGTTAGAGGAGCAGTAGCAGAAAATATTCCTTCATATATCATTTTTATGAGAATACGTATTCAAATAACGTTTCGCACAAAAAAACACCTTGCAAGTTGCAAAGACTGTCAGTGCAATCAATATAAATAACTATCATTATTTAAAAATATATATATAAGTCAGTAAAGTGCAAGTACTGTAGCTCAAAATTGTATTTAGACCAGTAGTTGAGTAAATGTCCTTTTCACTATCAATGAAGTTGTCAGGAGAGCAAGGTGTTTGCGTCAGAGAACGGACAGCAACAGTACCCAATCAGCAGCGGGGGCGTGCCTCGCCCCGCCCCGCCGCTTCCTCCGCGCTGCTTTAAGGTCACCGCAGTCATTCGGTAGCTAACCATCCGACGGAAGCGGAGGAGATCCCCAGCAAGGATAGACCCAGCGAAACAAGCAACATGTCTCTGTCTAACAAACTCACCCTGGACAAGGTGGACGTCAAGGGGAAGCGGGTCATTATGAGGTGAGCGTTTATAATATCACGTAGCTGAAGCGGTAATCGGAAACGGAATTATTTAGCGGTAACTAGCTAACGTTAACGTTATTTTATGGGGATGTTCTTGTCGGGAAACCTAACGACTCTATCCTCCCGGTGGTAACAAACTTGTTCAGCACTCTCACGGTGTTAACGTGAAGACAGTGAAGTGATGGTTAACGGTGTGTGAGTCGGTTCAGGCCGTTGGACAGACGACAGGAAGTGAACTTGAAGGTTGTCACGTTTTCCATCCATGTCATACGTGCCTGTGAGGAGATGCTGCATGGATGCAACCGACTGCACCCGAGATGTAGTCGGAGTCAATCCCTTAAATTAAAATACATCAACATCTCCCGCAATAATCAAACGTTTTATGTTGTAACAATTAAATGTTATACATTTGAGAGACGCTAATTTAGGAAGTCATGTGGTCACCAAGTGATGTCATCAAATAACGTTAGTCTGAGCAGCAGCTAAAAGCTCCAAGGTAATCGTTTAATGTCAATAAATGGACAAAATTAGGAAACATGTTGTAACAGTTATTGCTAATCAGTTGTGTGTGGGGTTTTTTTTTTTTTTTTTTTTTTTTTTTTTTACATTAAGTTATTAATTTAATCTATTAAACGACAGAAAATAGTGATAAACGCATGTCACCAGTTCCCACAGTGCAATTTGACATCTTTTTATTCCTTGTTTTGTCAGACTGACAGTCTAAACCCTCCAAGACAGTATTTTTTTAAATTTAGATAAAACAGAAAGAAGCAAAAAATCCTGACAGTGGAGAAGCTGGAGTCAGAAAATGGGCGGTGGTGTTGCTTGAAAAAATGCCCCAAACAACTAACCAATTTTCTTTCAATGTACAACTGATTAACTGCTGTTTCAGCAATAGTTGTAATCCTCACGTCATTCTTACTTTGTAAACCACTTTAACAATTAATAAGTGGTTATTTGTCCTAAGAGGAATTGACTAATTTAGTTTTAACTGGCTAATCAAGCTGATTTAGTGCCTTGCTCTACCCTCCACTTGCAGGACACTCCTCCATAGGTTTTAATCCCTTCCTATCTTGTGCATGTACAATCTCTTTAGCTGGTAGGATGTCCTGCAGCCTGGCTGAACAGCACCTAAAGTAGTTTTTCAATAATAAAAAGGTGCCTTTCTCCTTATCTGAAATGCAGCACTGCTATTTTATTTTAGTAAAGTGATTATTTGCCGTTTACTTGCTGGATATTTCTACAGACTGTGATGAAAGTGCAGTTGAAACTGACACCCTCTGAGGAAATGTCAGTGAGCCATATTGGTTTGCTCAGCTTGGTGACAGTCCGCATAGGACAAGGTTCACCGGCAGCAGTAGCCCTCAGCTCGCACTGCTCGGTGTTAAAAGGTCAAATTCACTTGATGTTAGTCTCTGTGCAGTCCAACGGTGTGCTGCACTGAGACAATTAAGATGAAAAGTTAGCTCATTTCACACCCGCGGCCTGTCCTAGCATGCTGTGTATGTGTGTTATGACCTTCAAGCTCTAGACAGAGTGCAGGGAAGGCACTGTGTGAGCTGCTGCTGGTCCAGAATTTAAAAAGAGAGAAGGCGGGACACTCCTGCAGTGCCTGACAGAAATCTGTTCAGCAGCCAAGTCCAGCGGAGGCCAGGATCTGAACTCTTAGAGGCATCACACATGGTCACACTGTAATACGTCAGAGTTACAGTTGTACAGCGACAGAAATATTCTCATTGCTGATCATCACTGAAAAATGGTGCCATTTGTGTGAAGCCCAGACAAATGTATGAAGGTTTTAAAGCCCTCCACTAGCCATCTTAGCCAACAGCTGTGGCTAGTTTGCCATTAGCTAACCTGTGCTGCAAACAACTGCACTTCTTTGGCTTTGCCCATCAATGTTTAACTCACCCGTGGACCTTATTTCTGCCTCTGAGAAACGCCTGAGTCCAGTTTGTGTTTGTTTAAACGATGGATCAAAACCTTCAGTGATATGCACATCCACCCTCGAGCAACACATGGAGCGGGAAACTACTGCAGCTGTTAAGTGATGTCTGTGTACGGGGCTGTTGAGCCTCTGAATTGCTGACTGTTGGGTTTTAGGTTAAGACAGCGGATTGCTGTTATTATGGCAGAGTGTGTGTGTGTGCCTACTCAGAGGAGGGAGGTGGTTATGTAACGGCGTGGAGTACGAGGGATGCAGCGTGTTCTCGTGAGCGTGCATCGCTGCATGCCTGGATGTGCAACCAGCTCAGTGGGCAGAGCAATGCACTAATGCTGCCAGTGAAGAGGCATTTTTGGATGAAAGCCTCCATCTAATGGCTGCGTCTGAACATGTCAGTGTTGATTGTCTTTTGTGCTGCTGCCCAATAATCATAGAGGTACCACAATGCAATGCAGCGACAAAACAGGTTTTTTGTCACAGAGAAATAAACAGAAGCTAATATGTTAAATGCTCCTTGAATATTTAAAAAGGTTGGTCAACTCAGTACACTTCATTGTTGTGCAGATTTCATTGTGTAGAAACTTCTTTGATCCATTTCTCCCAGTAAAAAAAAGGCCTCTTTCCATCTTGGGATTATGCCACATGGAAAATTGCTTAAATGAGCTGACGTTTATTTTTTTCGATTTAATTGATTAGTAGTTTGATCAGATGGTGAAAAATGTTTCAGTGTTTCCCAAAGCTCAAGATGACGTCCTCAAACGTGCTTTTGTCCACAACCCAAAGATATTCAGGTCAGTCTCACAGGAGCAAAGAAAACAAATATTCACATTTTAAGAAGCTGAAATAACTTCAAAATAGTTGACGACTAATGTAATAGTCAATAATTAATCGTTGCAGCTCTACCAATAAACTGAGAACATTAATAAATCATCATATCTCAAAATGAATTCATACATTGGACACGCACACAATTCTGTTTATGCTACATATTAGTTTATATTCATAAACATATTCATATTAAGGTCTACACATACAATCTGCAGATGCCAAAACAAATGTTGGTTATGACCAACAAAAAATCCTCACTCTACGCTGATGGTGTTAGACTACATGCTTAATTCACAGCTGAAGACCACCAGACAAGTGAGGTGTGGAAAGGGGAAATATGGGAAATGACAATCACTAAAACATCCGTAATGCACTGATTTTATTAATCTGTTTGTGGTAATTCAGTTTTTTTTATCTTACAGGGTTGACTTCAATGTTCCAATGAAGGATAAGCAGATCACAAACAACCAGAGGTAACGTGCATCCAGTTTCTGAAGCGTCTTTTCTGTTCTTACAGTTTAATAACCAAATCATTAATTTCTTAAATAAAAAAAACTTCAGCTCTTGAAGGTTAAAGCAAAAAGATGTACTTTATTCTTTCACAAAATAAAAAAGGAACATCATGTTTTATAAATTAGACAAAAGGTGAAAGGATAGGTTTTCTGAATGTTTGTTGATTTTCAGGGTCAAGGCAGCAGTTCCCAGCATCCAACACTGCCTGGACAACGGTGCTAAATCTGTTGTGCTGATGAGCCATCTGGGCCGTCCTGATGGAAACCCCATGCCTGAGAAATACTC